CTCTTTTGACTCCACTTCCAGTGCTCTTATCTCCTCCCACAACACCTAAGAGACATTTACTATGGTGATGATAGTGAAGACTAATACATGTAAAACAACAGTGAAAAATAGCAGTGTCCTTTCCTTGCCTTTACCCTATGGGTGTCCAGACAGTCTACTCCAAGAATGGGGAACCTGCTGCCTTGAGGCCACCTGTGACTTTTGACTGAATCCAAGTTTTACAGAATAAATCCTTTTATTAAGGAGATTTGTTTTGTGAAGTTTGGATTCAGTCAGAGGGTGAGCTTGAGGCCCCAGAGGGCCACATGTGGCCTCTAGGCAGCAGGTTCCCCACCCCTGGTCTACTCTCCTGTTCTTTCATTCTTTCTACCCACTCACTCCCTTTTCAAAGCCTTGTAGTTAGACTTTCTCCTCTCTAACTCTACTCAAAGTACAATCTCCAAGGTCATTTTCCTATCACCAAATCTAGCAAGTTTTTCTCAGTCCTCATTCTCCTTGACACCTCCACAGCGTTTGATGTCACCCTCCCTCTGATTCGATGCTTCCTTCCACCCTTAGATTGCACGGCACAATACTCTGTGGTTTCCCCTATTTCATCATTCTTTGTATGCCCTCTTAGGCCTCCCACACTCTAAATGTGGACATCCCTCAAGAAGACATCTGTCATCTCATCCTCAGCCCACTTCTCTCACTACCCTCTCACTTTTTGATTTCACCCACATGATGGCAGTCATCATTCCTAGTCAGATCAAGCCAAAATCAAGGCCTAATCTCTCCCCTGAGTTTGAGTTCTGCAACTCCAGTGACCAGCAGGATATCTTCACCTGTGTTCCTTGCCAGAATCTCAAATTCAACACTTGTAAAACAAAAATCTCCCCCTTTTGTCTTTACTGTTTCTGACTGTGGCACTAGTCTGCTGTATATAATCCTTCGTGTTGTCCTTGGCTCCTCCCTCTCTCTCCCACACCTCAGATCCATTCAGTTGCCAAATCCTCTAAATTTTTTTTAACCTCCAGAATACCTGTGGCATGAATCCCTCCTCTCCATTGCCACCACCACCATGCTAGAATTGGCCCACATTACCACCAACCTGAGTTATTGTCATACCCTCCTGACAGGTCTTCCCACCTCTAGCCTGTCCTTCACCCCCCTCCAATATATCCTTCATACTGTTACCAGATTAATCCTCTTTATACATACATTTAGTCAGAATACTCTTCTGCTCACTACCCTTCAATGACTTATCACATAGCAAATAAAGTTCAAGCCTCTGAGCCTAGCATTCGAGGTCCTCCACAATCTGATACCATCCTGCCTTTCCAGCCTTATACTAACGCTATCTTGCGCGGACTGCATACTGCAGCCAAACTGGACTATTAGCCATTCCTTATCTGTGGCTTGTGCTTCCCTCCCAATATTTCTTGGGGAAGCTACATGGTGCAATGGATAGAGCACCACTGGGCTTGGAGTCAAGAAGACCTGAATTCAGATTTGGCCTCAGACACTTACTAGCTGTAGGACCCTGGGCAAGTCACTTAACTTCTCTTTGCCTCAGTTTCCTCAGCTGTAAAATGAGCTAGAGAAGGAAATGGCAAGCTGCTCCAGTATCTTTGCCAAGAAAACCCCAAATGAGGTCATGAAGAGTTAGACACAACTGAACAACAACTCATAACATGCCCTTTGCCTTTTCCTTCTACCCCTTTCCTCTACACTCAATTGACTATTAAAATCCTGCCCATCTTTTAAAGCCAAACTCAAACACTCTGTCCTCCAAAAACCCCAGGCAGTAATGAGCTTCCCTTCCTCAGACCTTACACAGATAGCACTTAATTCCTCTCTTATGCGCTTGTCACACATCTGTTCTGTAGAATAGCTCCGTGAGTATGTGTCATCTACCGCTTTGGGGCTATGGTCTCCACCTGGAAAGGGATTGTGTTTTCTCTCAAATTTTTTTCAAGAGTCTGTCAGAGCACCTTGCACATAGTAGATACTTTGTAAATGTTAAATGAATGCATTTGCAATTCAGCTCAACAAGATTGATTAAATTTCTTCTTAGTGCTCAGACGACAAAGACAAAAATGAAAAGGCCATCCTGACCCTCGAGAAGCTTCCCTTCCACTAGGCTGTAACTCCATTCTAATGTGGTCGAAACCATCTTAATTCTTGGAGACCATAGACCCTTCAAGCTTGAAAGTTTAACATATTATTTTTATTATTGGTTACTGCATCTGATCCTCACATAAACCAGAGAGAAGTGGGGCAGAGATTATTGTACCTATTGAACAAATCTGTCAGCAAGGATTTATTGAGCCCTGTCTGCATGCCCAGCCCTCTATTGTGAACTCAAGTAGCCAAAAGGCTTTGTATTGGAGAGGAGGGAGGAGCAGGACATTGCCCAGGGGGAACAGAAAGAGTTTAAGGAAATAGCAGTGAGTTTGAAAAATGTAGACTAAGGGTGAGATAAATTCCTTGACTTAGGGAATGTTAGTATCTAGTCCCATTTCCCCCCATTTCACTGATGAGGAAACCAATGTCCAGAAAACTAAGGTTGCCATCTAATTGGTGGCTGAGCCAGAGCTGGAACTAGGGTCTCCTCCCTCTAAGCCCAGGGGTTTTTTAACCGGTAGAAGCCTTTATTTGTAGTAAGCTTGACCTTTTATTATGGAGATGAAAATTACAACAGGGGAAACTTTCTCTTTGTTTATTTACTTGACATCTTGAACAGGAGATGCTAAGCTCCTTGGAAAGGCCCCTGACTGCCTAGCGCTGCAGGGTAATTTCCCCAATCTGTATGTGATTTCTGGCATGGGTGGTTTAGAATACTCAGACCCTGACCCAGAGGGCAGACTCAGAACTGTCGGAGCTGTCATCTCGTCTTTAAAAATAACTTCTCATGACTGCAGACTCCATGGGAGCTCTGGAGGCTTTGAGGACATGATCTCAGCCTGTCTGGCCTAGGGGAAAGGGTCTGGGGCAGAGACAGATGGAGGGCAAAGTAAGATAAACCATAGGCTGTTAAGGCTAGACCTTTGAGATCATCTAGTTCCACCCCCTTCATTTTATAGGTGAGGAAATTGAGGCCCAGAAAGATGCAGTGTCTTACCCAAGATCACAGGTAGTATGCACATCATAGAATCACAGCCAGAGAGCTGAATGGGACCTTGGAGGTCATCCAGTCCAATCCCTTCATTTTACAAATGAAGAAACAGAGACCTAGAGAGGCTTATTGATTTGCTCAGACCTAGAACCCAGCTTCTCTGCCTCCTGACCTGTAATCTTACCATTTGCTGCCTGTATTTTTGTTTCTGGAGAGACCAGAAACTTGAACCAAATAAAGTATTGGCTAAGGTTCAGTTCTAAGCATGTTTTTGTGTTCTGGTTTTATGCCAGTTCAGTTATTTCATAAAATACGTAGGTTTGTCCCAAGTTTAAATTGGTTTACTGGACAACCACTTTGCTTTAGTTTATCATTATCGTTTGTTAATAAATACTCAGGTTTAATTTGGTTTGAGATTCCAACAGGTGATTGATTTTGGTTCATGTTTTGGTTACAGTCACTACTGAAGGCCCCTAGGACACTTGCTGTCACTTTTTTGGTTTAATACGGCAAGACCAGATTCTCAGAAGCTATTTAATTCTTCCTTAATGAGCACTATACCTGAAATTTGGGTAGCTGCCACCTGGTGAACTAGTCAGGCATAGATAAGTGGTTCAAAGAGCAGTTGCCATGTTTTTCTCCATCTTTATTCTTTATGCATTAAAGGACAACAGTTTTCAACCATTTGACAGTGAATGGTTTTCTCCACAGCCATATGGTGCAGATAGATGGCTATCTAGCTAGAATGAGTTGGAAAAGCAGGGGTAGAAATGATATGACCTTTCAGGGAGGGGTATCTTATAGTCCAAGGATTCCATGGCTGGGTGATCATCCCACCCTAGAGCAGCTATAACTGCAGCCCAATGATGCTTGGTGTTTCCTTTGACAGGTGCCTCTGAATTGAAAGAGCTCTTAATTATTCTAGGCTGGGCTGAGGAGGTCCCCCCTTGGGTGACTTGTAACCATTTTAGAAACTAAATTGAATCCTATTAAATTAATTAAAGAAGGGTTTCTCCTATGCTTACACAGCTGTTTGATAGGGAAAAAGCAGGTTTGCTTCTTAAAGACCCCAGCTGCCTTCTAGGTTCCCCACTTTATCCCCAGGCAGAAGACTGAACCCAAAGGTTCTTCAGCAGGGGGTACTAGGGAGGTATGAGATTAAGGGTGCAGATAGAGAGCTCAAGATTTTAAGAAAGAAGCAAAAAGGCGCCTTAGGTTTTATTGGAAAATAGGTTACCAAAATAGTACTGCTAAGAATGACACTACGAATTGTATTTTGGTGACTGGAGATGAAGTCTACTGAGCCAGCCAGCGTCCCATCCTATTGACTTTTTTTTTAATATTACAGATTTGCAAGGTTATTAAGCAGGTTTAGGGTTCGCTTTGTGGCCAGTGACTGTAGCTCGTTTCTATGTGAATGGAAATTCTCTCTGGGGAAACCTAGGGGGCTGAAATTCTCCCTAGAAAAGGTAAATGGGCCCAAGTGTGTATTGATCCTATGGCCTTGGTCTCAGGGACACCACATACAAGCCAGTTTGTCCAGATCCCAAATAGGAAACCCATGAAACTAAATGGGTATGGAATGGGAGTGGGTTTTTTATTCCTCAATGGTCACAGGTTCCTCTCCAGCATCATCAAAGACTGCTTCCTTGTCACCCATGGCAAGTTGATGCTGACAGACCAGATGGGTTCAAGGAGGTGGTAATGGAAAACCCAACCATTTACCTCTGGGTCACCAGCTCAATCTGATCTTGTTTCCATGGATACTGAAAGGCGCTATCATCTCACAGCAGCTTAAGCATCAGTATAGGAAATAGGGACTTAAAGTGAATGTTAGAGCTGAAAGAGATCTCAGAAACTCTTTACTCTAGACTCTTTATTTTACAAGTGATGCCCAGAGAGGGGAAATCATTTCCTTACTTTGAAAGGACCTTTTAGGGTTATCTTCTAGTCCAAGGATTCTATCTCATCCCACTGCAGCCATTTCATGAATTTCCTGTAACTTCAGCTGCTAATCCACCTAGAACAGTAGATCAAGAACACTATGAATAAAATATATTTGAATTTCAAGGTGGCATTTAATAGTCACATAAAATCTCTGGACAAGATTGAGAGGTATATGGTGATAGTACAGTGAATTCGAATTGATTCATGATCAATATTATACTTAAAGAAGGTTATCTAGTAGCATAATACCTGTTAAGCCTTTTTATTGATAAATTGGATAAAGACACATAAGTATTGACAATCAAATTTGATTATGACACAAAACTGGAAGCCAGTATATTGAAAGAGGATCTTGACAGGTGGGGAGTGTCAGACCAAAGTCAACAAGGTAAAATTTAACAAGGATATTTAGATTCTTCTATTTAGATTCAAAGAATTAACTGCACAAATATGGCCCATGGAAGACATAGCAAAAGAGCAATTCTCATGAAAAAGACTTAGAAGTTTTTGTTCTGTTGTATGATACTAGAGCTTTCCTCTGATAACTTGTCATGACTTGGATGGGAACCCCAGATCCTTGAAGGCTTTAATTAGGCAGAACACAAGCTCTGGCCAGCCCTACAATGTACCCTACGCCTGTTTCATAAGGACCCACCTAAGTAAGCTATAGAGGCCGTCATCAGATTAGCCATATATAGGTTGATGAATTTTTCATCCTTAACAACTCTTCATGATCATTTGCTAAGGCTTTTAAAGGGATTGCAATCTGCATTAGTGAAGGGAAAATCTATACCAACAATATCACAGGTCTTTGAGCTGTAACACAAACTCACAGTGACAATTGTTTAAAAAAAGAAAAACCATTACAATCTTGGGTTGTTTTGAGAGTAATATAGTGTCCAAGTCAAGAGAAGCAATAGCCTTCCCATGTACTCAGTTCTTGTTTTGGTCAGATCTCATCTGGAGTATTATATCTAGTTCTAGGCAGCACAGTTTAAAAGGGACATTGACAAACATTCAGAAGATGACTGTCATATTGGGAGAGTGTGAAACCATGTCACATAAGGAATGAGAGAAGTGAAGACTGTGGAAAGAGGAAAGCTGTCTCCCAGTATTTGAGGAATTGTAATGTGAAAGAGGAAGCAGAACTAGGGTCATTCAGTAGAACTTAGAGGCACGTAGATTTCATCTCAACAGTAGAATAGGTTATGTCTCAAAAGTCACCAGAAGTTTTCAAGAAAAGGCAAAGTGACAATCTGTGAGGTGTATTGTAGAAAGAATTCATACTTCAGGCAGGAAGTTAGGCTAAGTGATCTGAGATTCCTTCCATCCCTAGGATTCTGTATTTCTAAGTGACCATGAACCCAGGTCTTCTGACTCCTAGACTAGTGAGCTAACCTCTACACTAGGGATGGGGAACCTGTGGCTTTAAGATCACATGGGGCCCTCTAGGTCCTCAAGTGTAGCCTTTTGACTGAATCCAAATTTCACAGAAAAAATCTTTGTTGAATTTGGATGCAGTCAAAAGGCGTAACTTGAGGCTGCAGGTTCCCCACCTCTGCTCTACACCATATGGCCCCCATAATGATCATTACAGAGTTAGCTTTGAAGAGTACTTGCCCAGTTGCTGAGCCAGAAATAGAGACCCGATTCTCCAAAATTTCACACTCCCCCTTCCTTTCGTCTCTACCACTAATCTGCCTTCCTGCCTGCCCCCCAACCAAAAACTAACCCTGGAAGGTTTAGCTAGTCCACTCTTTCTTTCTGAGTTATTAAACCATTGTTAAATTAGCTGCCAATCATTGAAGAACACCCTCATGCCCCCAGCAAGAAGTACCATTTCACCATGAGGGAGTGGTATAACGTAGAGAGCCCTTTGTGCTCTAAGAAGAGCAGCAGCTTTGCCTAGGCAGTGAGTTCCCCAGCAGTTGTGATAATTAATCTGCGGAACATGAGCTCCCAGCTTGGTGTTTTTGATGAGTTGACAGGGCTTTGAAACATGATCGCTCTCAGGGGCTTGGTCCAGAGGCCAAGGGGGCTGTGTGTGTCTTGGAAACAGATCCTGTAACCTTCCTCCCCCACCACTAACCCAAGGGAGTAGCTGGCTCCTTCTAAAGAGCAACCATTGAGATGGAGAATGAGAAATTAGGAAGAAGGAAGGAGAAGAAACAAAGGAAAACTGAGGCATAAACAAAAATATACATTTTCCTTTGGCATAAACATATATGATATAAATTATATCTATATGTATGTATTATATATACATTATTTAAATTGACACCCCAATAGTTTTTATAAGGGACTGATAAAAACAGGACAAACTGATCATAATACTACTTTAAATTTTTCAGGATGTACTCATATTAGGGAAGAGGGAAGAGAATAAGCATTTATATAGTACCTACTATGGGCCAGGCACCAGGTTAAGAGCTTTACAAATATTGTCTCATTTGATCCTCACAACAGCTCTCCCAGGTAAGCGCTATTAGTATCCCCATTTTATAGTTGAGGAAACTGAGGTTTAAGTGACTTTCCCGGGGTCATACAGTGAATAGATGTTTGAGGCTAGATTTGAACTCAGGTCTTCCTGACTCCAGGCCCAGCACTCTATCCACTGCATTACCTAGCTGTTTCTGTTGCTCATATTACTCGTTATCTTCTTGAGCACATTTTCAGTAGGCAGGATTTACTTCCCCTCATTGACAGATGCTAAGGCCCAGAATGCTTAGCTTACTTCCCCAAACCCACATCACTGATTAAAGATGGAGACAGGGAAAAAACTCAGAACTTCTGGTTCCCAATCCAGTGCTGTGTTCTCTAAAAAAATCTACTCATTTAGATGTCATTAATTCATAACTAGTGATGATTTCAAATAGGAGCTGTATCAGCATTAGCTTTTTAACTTTCTGTAGAGAAATATTTGGATGGAATAAATAAGAAAAGTAAAGTAACTGGGGGTGGGGGGAGAGGGGAAGGAAGTCTGTCCTTGTGCACAAACTGCTATTTTCAAATGTTTTTAATCTTCTAGGCGAAGTAGTTTATTGAATATTAAAATATTCTTCCTTCCTCTTACAAGTGGTAGGCTACAGTCTTGGAATGTCGTCTATATCATCAATAAGGGTTTCAGTGTCAGTTTTGCTTAACTTTGTTTTTGTCAGTGGTGTTGGGGAGAGTAAGGGGGATGTTTTGGGAAATGACTGGGAGAAAAAATTGAGATGCCAACAATTCAATTCAGACTTTTTTTGAAGTACCTACTGGGTGCTAGCCTTTTAGGGTCCGGGACTGCTTTCTACCTAGCACAATGCCTGGCCCATGCTTCATGAAGGCTTGTTGATTAATTGATAAAGACAAAATTGAAACACAGTAAATGCCTATTGATTGAGAAAAAAGGCAAGAATGAGATACAAAATAATTTTTAAAAAAGAGTTTGTGTTAACATTTGGGGAAACAGGAAAGGCCTTGTTGTGAGGTAGTACCTGGGCTTTATTTCAAAGGAAGATAGGTATATTGTAAGGCAGAGGTGTGAAGGAGGTATTTTCCAGAAACTGGAGGCCACCCATGCAAAGATACAAAAGCAGAAGATGGATTGTCCCATTCAAAGAACAGCCAAACATCCAGTTTGACTGAAATAGAGAGTATACAAAGAGAAGTAACAGAGTAGATAAGACTGGGAAAGTAGGCAGGATCTACATTGCAAAGAACTATATAAATGCCCCACTGAGGATCTTGTATTTTATCCAATTGACAATAGGGAGCCACTGAAGATGTTTGGATATAGGCCTGACATGGTCCAATCTTCTTTTAGAAATTTCAGTTTGGATCAGATGGAGGAGGGGAGTGACTATGAGCAAGGAAGCCAATTAGAAGCATTTTGCAATAGTGTCTGGGAGAAGCAATGACAGCCTGTGGTAGAGTGGAGGCTTATTTTAAAATAACAATCATAAAGCTTACATCCTTGACAGAATCCATTGGGTAGTAGTACAGGGAACCCTAGACCAGGATTCAGGAGCCCTGAGCTCTAGTCCAGTATCTGCTCCTGGTTATACACCTTAAAGAAGTGACATCCCTTTTCTAGTCCTGAATTACTTCATCTGTAAAATAAGGGGTTTAGATTATTCTCTAAGGTCCATTCCAGCTTTAACAGTCTATGACCTGTAACTTCTACTTGTCAACCCTTGGTTTAGTGCTATACCATATTCTTAGAAGTAATAAAGCCACATTTCTTAAAAAAAAAAAACCTGTAAACCTAACTTATATTTTTATAGTTTTAAGGTTTATGAAGTATTCTTCTCATTTCCCTGTGAGGTATAGATAGTACGTATATCCCCATTTTACAGATGAGGAAACTGCAGTCAGGTGAGCTACATGATTTGTCCAAAGTCCTGTAGTCTCTAGGTGTGATTTGACCTTTTCACAGATCATTTGGCCTTATTCCCCAAAAGCCACTCAAGAGAACCACTTAGGCTAGGGTAAAGTTGGGGGAGAAGCAGAAGAGGGGCCCCATAGGGAGGAGTTGTGTTTATTGTTGCTGCTGCTTCTATTTATTTTAATGAAGCAAAGCCAGCATCACGGGCAGTGATGATTCCTTTCCCCTCTTTCACTACTTCTCAGTTTGAAGTTTTTCTTTCCCTTTCTCCCAGGCCTTTGCATACTTCCATACCACAGGTTAAGCCTGGCTTTCAGAGAGAAGTTCCTAAGCTTCCTGCTTGCCTTGCTGTGGCTTTTATTAGACATGTCATAGCCTGGCCCAGGTATTTGAGTCTGGATTCCTGTCTTAGTTAATCATAGTGGGAGGATGGGATGTGGAAGGAAGAGACCTCTGCTGCTGCTTACTTAATCCATTTGTTTAAGAAAATACCCCCACTACCCCCACCACTATCCATTGCTTCTAATTCAGTTTCTTGGAAATGGCATCTTTAACTGAACGCCAAGGGACTGGAAAAACTCAATGTTTTTCTGAGTGTGAAATCCATGAGAGAAGACCATTAGGGGTAAGCGACTTTGCTTAGGTAGCAAGTATTGTCAAAGCAGAAACCAGCCTCTAAACTCATCTGAGACCTCTCTTTTCCTACTACTTCCCTAAACATAATAACCAGAACAACCATACTGACCTACTTATTTAAATCCAAAGGTGCCACAAAATTCTTTTGTCTTCACATTTGTTTTGTTCACATCATTTCCTGACTCTAAGATAATTCCCTTATCCTGTTCTGTTTATCTTAATACCCTGCATCTTTGAAGATCTGCCTTATATCCCATGTCCTCCAGGAAGCCTTCCCTTTCTGCTCTAGTCTAGAGAAATCTTTCCTTCTGAAGCATTTTTTCAAATGCAGGAGCACAGATTAAGAGACCTTAGATGACCAGGATTCAATTCCCTCATTGTGTACTGTTTTGTTGTGTTTTTTTTAATTAAATTTTTATTTTTAAATTAACAAGAACCCACCTTCTCTCCCTCCCACCACCCCACCTCCATCCAGAAAAGAAAGAAAAACAGAATCCCTGTTGCAAACATGTGTAGTAAAGCAAAATAAATTTCCACATGGGCCATGTTTTTTAAAAAAAAAAAGTCTTATTCCACACAGAGACCTTCACATCTCTATCAGGAGGCCTCTGATACATTTCATCATGAATTTCTGAAATTGTGGTTGGTCATTTTGCATAACAGAGTTCTGAGTCTTTCAAAGTTGTTTGACTTTTCAGTATTGTTGCCGTTGTATAAATTGTCTTCCTGGTTCTTCTTACGTGCTATACAATACATCATTTCATACGAGTCTTCCCAAGTTTGTCTGAAACCATCTCCTTCATCATTTCTAACAGCACAATAGCATTCTATCTCATTTATATACCACAACTTTTCAGCCATTCCTCAACTGATGAGCACACTATCAGCTTCCAGTTATTTTTTGTAACAAAAAGAGCTGCTATTAATATTTTTGTTCATCCTTAGTAAAATTTCAATTTACTTAGGATTAATCATTCCCTTAATTTACCCTGCCTTTTTATTTCCTTCTCCTGTTTCCCTATTTAGTGAAAATTGTTTCTGTAACTATGTGTGTATATCCTTCCCTCCTTTGAGTTCATAGGAGATTAAGGTTCAGGTGCCAGCTATTCACTCTGCCTCCTTGTTTGTATAGACTTCTATTTGCACACAAATTTATGAGATACTTTTGCCTTTTTCTCTCCCTTTCCCCCCTACTGTATTCCTCTTTCCCCTCCCTTTCCATTCTTCTTTTAGGATAATCAAGATATAACAGAACAACTCACAGGCCTTCTGTCTAATTAGACTCCTTCTGTGACCTCTGGGGCAGGAAGAGTTCAAAAGAAACACACATATTAGAATATAAACAATTAGTCCTTGTTTACTCCCTTATGGTCATTCACTTGTGTTTACCTTTTTTAGTTCTCTTAACTCTTGTGTTTGTACTTCAAAGTTTTTACATAGCTCTGTTCTTTTTACCAGGAAGACTTGGAAGTCCTCTTTCATTAAAGGTTCATTTTTCCCCCTCTAAGCTTCTACTCAGTTTTGTTGAGCAAGTGATTCTGGGTTGTAAGTTTATATCCTTTGCCTTCTGGAATAACATAGTGTAAGATCTCTGTTCCTTTATATTTAGGGCTGCTAAATCTTATATGATCCTGATTGCAGCTTCTTGGTATTCAAATTCTTTCTTTCTCACTGCTTACAATATCTTTTTCTTTGATCTGGAAACTCTGGATTTGGGCTATAATAGTCCTGTGAATTTGTTTTGGGGTTTCTTTTAGGAGGTGACTGGTAAATGGATACTTTATATTTGATTCTAAGAGATCTGGATCGTTTTACAATTTCTTAAAATATGATGTCGATCATTTGGGTGATGGTATAAAAGTAGTCTCATGATTCTGAAATGATCTCTTCTTGATATGTTTTTCAGACCAGTTTTTTTTTGCTATGAGATGCCTTATATTTTCTTCTATTTTTCAGCCTTTTGGCTTTGTTTTAATATTTCTTATGTCATGCAGTCATTATCTTCTATTTAGTCCATTTTCATTTTCAGGAAATTTGTTGTTTTGGCAAAGTTTTATACATCTCGTGCCAAGTTATTTTGATTCTTCCACGGATCTCATTTCTTTTCCTGTTTTCCTTTTGCACTCTCACTTCATTTATAAACTCTTTTTAAGCTCTTTTTTAACTCTTGCTTTATCTTTTCCAGGAATTCTAGTTGAATTTGTACCCAGGCTGTCTGTGACTTTATTTGAAGCTTTGTTTGTAGATGTTTTAAAGTCATTTTCTTCTTATGAGTTATATCTTAAGTGTCCTTGTCAGCATAATAGCATTTTATGGTGAGATTTTTTTTTTACTTATTCTTCCAGCCTATTTCCTGACTTCAAACATTGTTAGTGCTGGGGTCCACGAACTCAGAAGGACTATCAGGGCTGATTTTACTGCTTTTATTGGATATTGAGTATTGTACTATTCCTAGATCTCTGGGATAGCTGAGGTTGCCTACCTGTAAGATTTTGTTTTTGCTTTTGTTGTTTTGTTTTTCTTGTGGTTGTTTTTATTTTTGTGGCTTTCAGTACTCCCAAAGTAGTTTGATCCAGGGCAGAATTTAAAAATCAGTCCTCTCCCCTTCTTCTCTTTTTGAGCTCTGCAAGTTCCTGACCTGGATTTGGGTCTGAGAATTATGCCAATGGGAATGCCCCATTTGGAGTTTCAGTAGGCTGCTTCTGGACCCAGTCACTTTGAGCCAACTAGGGAGTTCTGCTGCTTCAGAGTGATAGAACTCTAGGCTTGCTGTTGATCTGGGAATCCTGTCTTGATTAAATCCTCTGCAGACTAGTTTTGGAAGTGAGACCCTGTTTCTCTTCTGGGGTCAGAGGAACACAGTTGCTGCTTGCTTCTCAACTTATTCCTTTCTCTTCCCTGGATCCATGACTCGTAATTGGGTAGTGCACAACAGAGCTGCCAGCTGGCACCTATTCCTGCACCCTGTACACAGCTCCTTCTGTGCTGGATCTGGGACCTCTTCTTGCCCTGGCACACAGCCTCTCCCTTATCTGGAATGCTCTGCAAGGAGGTTCCTAGCCAGATCCTGTCCCTAGTGTTCAGAGGACCCAGACCTTCTGTTATAGGGAGACCACTTGTTGACCAGGGCTGGAAAAATGGCTCACTGTAATTTTATTTTCTTGAATTTCCTAATCAATATTAAGTCTGGTGTCTATTCTAGTCCCATTTGGAAAAGTAGAGGAGAGGGAGAAGCTCAATGCACTGCTTCCTGCTACTCCACCATCTTGGCTCCACCTATTTTACACTTATTAAGACTCTGTAACCTGCCTTATAGTATTATATTCCTATTTTCTCTATGTGCTTTCTCTTTCAGAGATTATAAACTCCTCAAGGGCAAGACGAATGTGTTTTTGTCACATTCCCCACCCCCAACACAGGGCTACCACTACTACACAATAACCAAAGTCTTGCTAAATTGAACTGATTTTAATTTTTTTCGTTCATTTTTATTTTCAGTTCTAAATTCTCTCCGTTCCCCCTTCCTCTACCCATTGAAAAGACAAGAAAAACAAAATCCACTACAAATATGCGTAGGTATACAAAATAAATTTCCCTGTTAGACAGAAAGAAAGAAAGAAAGAAAGAAAGAAAGAAAGAAAGAAAGAAAGAAAGAAAGAAAGAAAGAAAGAAAGAAAGGAGACAATATGCTTCAGTATGCACTCTGAGTCCATCAACTCTCTATCTGGAGATGGATTGCATGTTTCATCATGAGTCCTTTGGAATTGTAGTTAGTCATCGAAGTGAATTTCAAACAATGGAATAGCACTCTCAGGCTGGATAACTGACTTTTGGTGAGACCCAGTTAAAGGTCAGTCTCCAGAAACAAAGGGATTTCCTGGTAAGAGCAATAGAAGAAAAGTTCAGTTTCACAGGAGTGTAAAGTAAATCACGAGGAGTATTGTGAAATGAGGCTTGCATGGTAAGCTAGACCCCTAGCTTCTGAAGATCTTGAAGGCCAGACTAAGGAATGTGGATTTTGTTCAGTAAGTAAACTGTGAGTAGCCATCAAAAGTTTTTATGTAAAAAAATGATGTGATCAGATTTATGCATTAAGTGAAAGATTATTCTTACCATAAAAAGAAAGCTAGATTGAATGGAAAGAGGGGGGGGGGGGCGCATGGAGAGAAGAAAAGGCAGGGAGACCAGTTAGGAAGGTTGTTGCAATAGTCTAGGTAAACAGTAAGAAGAATTTGAACTTGGGCGATGGAAATGGAAAAGGGAGGCTACAGATGCCAGAGATATAACAGGTGTTTTGGAGGACTTGATGCCACACTGAACAGTGGTAGTAGGGCATGGAAAAGGGATGACACCAGATTTCAGACATAGGTAATTGAGGAAATAATGCCGTTCACAGAAATAGAGCTGATGAGAGGAGCAGGTGTTGGAATAATTAGTTTGATTTGGGACATGTTGAGCTTGAGATACCCAAAACCGAAAACCCCAGGAATAGATTTTTTTTCCTGTTGTGTTGCTTTCCATTAACAGTGAAACAATCAAGTGACTAGGTAATATTGCCACATTACTAACCTTTGTACTTGTATCTACAGTGCCTGGCACATAGTAAGCATTTAAATGCTTTTTGATTCATTCATCCATTAGTTTTATTCATTCATTCATTCATTCATTCATCTGTATGTTTATTTGGAGCTTGGTGGGAAAATTGAGAAGATAGTTAGACAGGTGTTTATTACCTCACAGTTAAACCAAGGAGAGCAGCCTGCTGTCCATTCACATCCAGATAAGCCATGGCCACTTGATCTCAGAGTTGGAAGGGATATCAGAGTTAGACCCATACCTGGACAGGAATACATACATTTAAAAGTACATGCCTGAATTTACCATGAATCAGTTCAAATATAACAGAAGGGTTTCAAACCCAATATGCAGCCTAAGGGAAAATGTTTCACTGGATGGTCTACCTTGCCTCCAGTGCCTCAGTAGAATTTAAGCTTTTGGCCATCCGGGAACTGGTTTGTTTTTGTGCGTTTTGTAAGGGCTTATTAAATATTTGTTGAATTGACAACACCTTTATGTATGATTTAGAGCAGAGCTTCTTTTTTTTTTTTTGGGGTATCATGGACTTCTTTGGCAGTCTTGGGAAGCCTATGAGCTCTTTCTTGGAATAATTTTTTAAATGCTTAAAAATTGAACATATAGGATTACAAAAGAAATCAATTGTATTGAAATATAATTATCAAAATATTTTTGACAAGTTTGTAGACCCTAGTTAAGAACCCCTAATTTAAAGGGTACCAGATACCCCTTGTTGCTCCAAAATATCTCTTCTGGCCTGTTGCTAACGCCTTAGGTTGCACCATTATACCTCTGTTCCTTTGGGTTCAGAATTGTTTGCTCCTAACCTTTCTTAATTTAAAAGGCAAATATGTTTAGGAGAGGTAGGTGACACTCTTTGTCCTTAACACCTAGGTGAGAATGACTTTGTCAAATCACTTTCCCCTCCTAGGGAAGACAGCAGGGGAGTCCTGGTAGCCGAAAGGGCAAACAGAGATTAGGGGAGTCTAGAAGCCAAACTTTGCACCTTAGCAGTTTTGCCTCCACATGGCCAATCATTGGAACTGACCCTGAAGCATTCATCCCACCCAAGGGCAGACTGTTAACTTGTCAACAGTCTTCTTTCGAAGGCAGCTATCCTGAGGTAGAGCCATACGCACAGGCAAATAGAGTTAGGAGTCAGGAAATTCAACCATCAGCCACAAATGAACTGAACACCTCACTCTGAGCAGCTGCCCGAGTCATTCAGGCCTGGAAAATCCAATCTGAGGAGTGATTTCCCTGGCAGACCATTGTTTGGAGCTGAATCAGATTTGCCTTTGCGTTCTGGGGGTTTAGCTTTTCCCAGTGGAATCGCCCCCAAGGGTGTTTGCAGGAAGGGAACTATGCAAGCTGAAGCCTGGCTGATGAGCTAAATCAATTAAAAAGGAAATTGTGCCTGATAATAATAACTTCCTTCCCACCCCCACATTTAGCCTTGGCTAGTTTGACTTCAGGAACTCAGAATCAGAAAGAGAACTAGAGCAGAGAAGCATTGTAGCTACAGCAGTGAGCAGCAGAATGTTTTCCCCTCTATCCCTCTTAAAAAAAAAGTTTAAAAAGTCAAAAATCTATACCTGTTATTGGTATCATGAATTAAAAAGCAATATGGATTAAACAAGTAGAGTTACCTTTTCATCTCTCTGCCATTCATACTGACCCTTCTTGCTGCAGGACAGGACAGGCCAAGACAGGGAGTGTGGCTGTACAGGAAATGAGCTGGCAAATGCTATAAAGTCAGGCAGGCCAGTAATCGTTTTCAAAGAAGCCAGAAAAGGCAAGGAGGAGCCAGCAAGCTCTAGACTCCAGGCAGTTCAGCAAAGGCAGGAGAGAAAAAAAAGAACTAGACACAATAGGTCTAGGTAGGCAGAAGTCTATTATCCAAGAGGTCAGGCATCAGGAATCAGTCAGCCAGGTTTAGGAAAACAGATGACAAGGATAGGCAAAGGGACTGGATGAGATGGGTTCCTGAGTCTAGACTAACAAATCTGGTCAAAAAAGAAGTAGGTAAGAGGTCTAAGTGAGTAAAGATACTGGATGCCAGCAACAGAAATGGAGATAGATCCTGAGTCATGACCCCCTGAGCCAGTGGCTCCTTAATACCTCCTCTACCCAAAGCAAAGTCAGGGTCAGAATGTAGGCAGGCCAAAGCCTAGAATGCTGTGCTAGTATGGAACGTAAGCAAGCAGAGGAAAGGGCAAGGAGGTTCCTGACACACACTATCCTGCTCCTCTACAGAAGCAATCAGGAAGCACCCACCTAGGCACAGGGTCCTAGATTTAAAGCTAGAAGGGACCTTAGAGGTTGTCTAGTCCACCCCCTCCTCTAATTCTACAGATGGGAACAGGTCCACAGAGGTAAAGAATCTTGCCCAGGATCCAACAGAGAATAAATTGCAGAACCAAGATTCAAATCCGCATCTTTTGATTGAAGAGCTGGTGTTCTCTTTACTATTGGAGAGGGGGGTGGTCCAGTTCTTTGTACAACAAGTAGGCATCTGGAACAGGACAGCCTCCCTTTGTCCAGTCCTGCTCTTTTTCTTGTGTACTTTCCCCCCAGCTCTTCCTCTTCCTTTCCCCTAACTCCCTACACACACACATACACACACACACACACACACACACACACACACACACACACACACATTCTGTGAATCCATTCCAAACCCTCTCTTCACCCCCTGACACTTTCTAATGGTATACTCAAAGGAGAATGAACTCTTCCCCTAGCTCCTGAAGGCAGACAATGGGCTCTCTGGATTCTCCTCTGGGGTGATGGTGTCATTCAAAAGGGTCAGAAACAATCATTACACCCTCACTTCATTCTTTCTTCCCTGAAGCTGCCATTTAGGGTTATTGATGTAGACAGCCCATTCTCCCCCAAGTTAGTCTCCAGCCCAATTAAAAGATCCCTACCTCCTCCCCCATCCCTGTTCTCCTTTTCCCCTCAGGCTCCTGATGGTTTCTTTTAGTTTATAGAACCTGTCAAACTCAAGTTCAGGCACACCCTTGGAGCCCCTGAGCTTTCAAAGGGGATGTTTTTAGCATTCAAATATTTTCCCTCCTTCCCATGACAGAGGGAAGCAGGAGGCCTTTCCTCTGTCCTCTGGGCATGCACTAGTGTCACATTGGGCTTTAGTCTTGGCCCTGTTCTGTTCAACATATCCTGATAGGAAACTTTTTCTGAGAACCCTGCCCAGTGGGTTAAAACTTTAGACCCCTTAGTTGATATGTGCCTTTAATACTAAAGTTTTAAGAACAAAGAAAAGCCAAGTGTTTAGTGTGAAGTCAAGAGAAAGGTTGGGGAAGGGGGGGTGGAATTTATTCAGATTAAAGTTTGGAAGAGAGACTTAGGTGACCTAGGATATAAGTTCAGCCTGAGTCAAAAAAGAATAGTAAAATATAAATTTCTCAAAGAGTCAGGCAAAAAGATTGTAGACCAAGGATGGACCAAATTCTGGGGGCACAAAAAATGCATCTGGACCAAAGAAAATCAGTCAGAACTGCCTAGAATCAGACTTTCTCTGTCCTTTGTGCTTGTGATTGACTTACTTATAAAAGCTTCTAGCCTTTATCTAGTCTTATTTTTAATATCAAACTCCCCTGTATGCTAGTAGAGGATCAGTTAATTGATGAGTTGTGGTTCAGAGTGGGGGAACTTTAGATGGGGCTAGACTAGAACTTTTAAGGCCCTTCTAGCTTTAACTGCTACATTAGAAGCTCTGAAGAGGAATCAGAAATGAAGATAAATGCAGGTCCATGGGAAAATAGAATTCCTTTTATAAAAATTCAGTTTATCAGCAACTTTCTTGTAGGCTACATCATTTCCTTAAGGTGAGGTACCTCCTCTCCCTGTTGAGGGCTGTAACTCTTGTAAATCCAGTGTTTATGAAAGAATAGAAAAGTCTTCTTATTAAGCATAATGTAATGGAAAGAGAATGGTCTGGAGTTTAAAGATCTGATAGGAATTCTTAGTTCTCTTGTTTTCTCCTTCTATGACTTTCACTTCCCTTCGCTGGGCCTCAGGTTCCTAATCTGTAAAATGTTGTCCATAAATTAAATTTTGTAAAGGAAATCTTATTTTCCTATGAATCTGCATTTATCTGCATAAAGAGGTTGCTGTAGTTGATGTGTAAAAATTCTTTCTGGCTCTAAAAGTGATATGCATTATACATTAAATATTATATTTTAGCTTTTTTATATTCTTTGCTAAAAAATAAAACAGCATAATATCAATTAAATATCCATTAAACTCCTACTGTGTGCCAGGCACTGGGCTCAGTAGTGAAGATACAAATACAAAATTTAGACTCTGCCCTAAAGGAGCTTCCATGTATTCAAATGTGTATACTATAAATATAATATAAATGCTTACAAGACACATACACAACAGGTAAAAGGTAACTTTGGACGGGAAGCCACTAGCATCAGAAGGGACCAGGAAAAGCCTCCTACCACAGATGGTGAGCTGAGTCTTAAAGGAAACCTGAGGGTCAGCGAGGCAGAAATAAGAAGAGAGAATGTCCGTCTTGGATGCTCTCTTAAATGGGGAGCAGCCAATGCAAAGCATGTAGACGAGAGATAGAGTTCTGTGTGTGTGGTAAAGCAAGTAATCCTCTGTATCTAGACCCTAGAGTTCTTGGAGAGGGGGAATACATAAAAGAGATGAGAGAGATAGGAAGGGACAAGCTTGTGAAAAACTTTAGGTGCTAAATTAAAGAGTTTGTATTTGATCCTAGATGTAATGGGAAGCCAGTGGAATTGAGTAATGGGTTAATCGCGTGGTCAGGTTTAGGAAAATCACTTTGGCCAACCAACTAATGGTTCCTTTGTCTTTTTTCTTTTTGTTAATGTTTCTGCTTCGATGGCATTCTTGGATATCCTCTAATTCCACCTATGTTCTGGCCATGATCATTCACAGGTAAGTTAATTGGCCTGTATTTTATTTTTGTGAATGTTTGCATGTATTTATGCATTATGACTTTGCTTTCTGGATAAGTACTGTCTGGGTGTGTTACAGCTCTCTAGGAAACATATCCATTAGTCCTCTAGTCTTTATTCTCCCCCAAAATTTTAGTTCCTTCAGGTTTTATGGGAAGAGAAATGGTTTTCCAGAAAACTAAGTGAAACGCTGTGTAAGGTTTTGGTAATTTTCCCAATGGTTCATTTGGAGCCTAAACTCATTGATGTAGTTTGTGGGAGGGAAGAAGTATATTTCCTTTCTCTCTGAAGAAAATGTGAATTCGGACATTCAGCACTAGGGATGTTGTTCAAACAGAGACTAGACAATCACCTAGCCACCTGTCATGAGTATTGTAAAAGGGTGGGAGGCAGGGCAGGATGTCTCCTGAAGTCCTTTCAGTCCAACCCTATTCCATGATTCTATGACTCTATTGATTGAGATTGAACATGAGGAGTATTCTGTAAGCAGAAAGAACCTGAAAGGCAGAAATCTGAACCTCTTTACACTGGAGTGATCTCTTCATCCCTCTCCCTTTTCCAAAGTTAACATATCTGATCCTAAAACTTAATACAGGACCAAATTAGTTAGCATATGAAAACCTTATATGCTAGCTACATGATGAGGATGACGATGAGGATGATGATCATGGTCATGATAGATAAAGTTCCATTACAGCAGATCCCAGGAGCTGTCCACACAATTTATGTACTAGAATTTGAGTGCATCAAGTGCTTCTTGAAATGACAGTCATTAGTTGGGGTTTGGACATCTTTCTGTGATATGAAGATTTTTATATGTAAGTATGTCCCTTTTAAACAAACTCAATGAAAATCTGTACTTACATTTTAAAGGTTGGGGGCGGGAAGTTGTGGAATTTGGAGCTCAGGAATATTCCTTATTTTACAAAAGGATTCTCCTTTCTGGGATCATTCATCATAAGGTTCTTGAAAAAGCGAGTTTTCTAATACTTTTAACATTATTTGACTTATAGATAGATAACATGTAAAACAATATTTGTTGTTGAGCTATACTTCAAACTCTAGTGTGGAAAAGTTTCTGACCCTTTCACCTTTTTTTTTTTAATATTGTTGTCCCTTCCCTAAGAATGCTACTCCCTCTCACCCACCATAGAACTTTCTGTTCTAAAAAATAAGTTTAGTCAAGCAAAAGAAATCAACACATTTCTTGCATCTGAAAATATATGCCTTATTCCACACCTATATTCCACCATATCTCTGCCAAAAGAGAAGAGGCAGCCTTCACCCATCAGTCCTCTGATGTCAGGCTTTCATTGTTTTTTCTTTTACATTCAAGACAGACTTCCCACTTTAAATCTCTTCAAGGAAAAGGAAAAAAATAAGCATTTCACAATATTAATTCATTATGATGAATCTTCTGGTTTTGTGCAGTTATATTATCACCTCAGAATTTAGCTACCATATTGTCTTTTATAATGTCTGCATCTCTTTAAGCCAGGGACTGCTTCCTCATATAGAAATGTGCAATTTTTCCATAGGTTTGGGTTTATGAGATTAGCCTGGGATCCATGAACTTGCTGGGTTGTTTTTTTTTTTTTAACATTCTGATAACTATATCGCAATATAATTGGCTTCCTTTGTATTTTATTTTATGTATTTAAAAACATTATGCCTAGGAGGGGTACATAGGCTTCACCAAAATTCCAGGAGGGTCCATGACAAGCTAAGAAACACTACTCTTTCATTCTTCCTAAACACTGCCTGTAGCTTGGGTAGCTGACACCAAATGAAAAGTGGGGTCTGGTTTATAGTTTCATAGTCTAAACAGCTAGGTTTCCCCTTGATCTGACTTTTTTAAAACAAGAGGCAATTCTTTTCTCTACTGACCACTGACTATTGACATTTGTTGCTTCCAGTGTGACTCTGAACAAGCCCTCCCACACTCATCCTGAGGGCTGGTTTCACTGAGCAGAGAAGTTAAATTTTAGGTGGGGCCCAGCCTTGGCAAAATTGTTAAGTTGGCAAAGTTTGTGGCCACCTCCTTTTCCCCCACTTCCCACTTCTTCCCACTCTCCACTTTTGGTACTCAAAACCTATTTTCTGCCTTCTGAGTACCTAGGACTTTCTCACCATGGCACCCTCCCTGGGCGTCATTTCTTCAGGTCTCTCTTAAGCTTAAATGTGTTACTTCTTCGAAGAGTATCTGCATTGTCTAAGGGCTGCTTAACCCAAAGGAATAAATACTTAATCAGCATGTCAGGCCAGGCAGAAGGAATAAGAGTATATGTGTATCTTTTTTAGGGGGAAAGTAGCAATGGAAGAGCCTTCCCAAGGCCCCTCAAATCACGAAGTGTATTAAAAGATCACATATTTAGGGCTAGAAGGGACCTTGGAGTTACTTTAGCTCTCTCATTTTACAGAAGACAAAACTGAGTCTAAGAGAAGCTAAGTAACTTGCCTAAATCCATACAACTAATAAGTGTCTAAGGCAGGATTTTAACCCGGATCATCCTGACCCCACATCAGGAAGACAGTATGCCCTCTTCAAAATATTGGGCTGCCTTTACTCTTGCCTGAGCATAAGGCAGGGCCCAATCGTGGTTCTCTGTTACCCTGGTGCCAGTATCTCTCAAAAAGATGTCCCACCTGTTCAACAGACCTGTTCTCCAAGAGAGAGCCAATCACACCCTCTTAGTCATCAAAGGCCTTTGGTGGTTTTAGAGAGGATATGTTGAGACATGCTCCCCATTTAAGTATTGCAACTTCCTCTTATACAAGTAGATTTTGGTGTTTGACTCTTTCATGTACTACGTCCAGATTAAAAGAAAGTTCAAGTTTAATCACTCTTAAGAAACAAAAGGAAAGTGTTGATTCATGCACTCAAAATCTATAATTCTGCTTCCTAGATCCTTCCTTAACTATGTCCTTCCCACACTCTCTACCCTTCAGTGACTCAAGAAACTTCCAAGACATAATGGAATTACTCCAGTTTGCATAGTATTTTTTGCTCCTGCTGGGTGACCTGGAAGGCTGAGAAGAATGCGTTGTTCAGAAAGGCACATAAGGCCTTATAAAACCACAGGCCTTAAGAGTTAGAAGACCTGGGTTCAAATCCTAATTCTGCCACTTAGGAGCTGAATGACCAGAGTGAAGTCATCTCTGAGCCTCATTTTCCTCATGGGGATAAGAATGAAGTTAATAATAAACTACCTAGCTCACAGGCTTGTGAAGAAAGTACTTTGAAACCTTTAATGCTATATAAATGGAAATTATTATTGTTATTAACTGGATTGAGAGAAATCAAAGGGGATAATGTATGTAAAGCGCTTTGCAAACATGACTACTCTACATAAATGTTAGCTGTTATTTCTATTCTTGTTGGTACTTAATAAACATTCACTCACAAGTGAATGAATGGAGGAATAAAATGAATAATTCATAAGGAAGGCCAGTTAAGAAGCTTCAGAAGAAATTATATTCTGTATTCTCCACCCAACTCCTTTCAGAAATCTGTTTAAATTGGAAGGTATTTTGGTTGATAGCATCTGATCGGGAGCCAGAATTGATAGCTTTGGGAAGGAGCAATGCCAGGGAGGCTCACAGAAAATCCACAGGTCCATGGTGGACACTAGTAAGGGTGGGAGAGACATTAAACTGGGAGGGGCTTTTTTCTCTTCTCCAAGCTTTGGTCTCCCATATCTGGAGTCCTGGTGGCTCATCTGATGCTTTTAGGCCCTGGGAAAACTGGCTCATGCTTCCTCAAACCACTCTGAAATTGTTTTTTAAAAGCCAGTCAAATGACATACAATGAGGGAATAGTTCTTCCTAATAGATAAGTGGACTTAGAAAGCCAAATTGATGTCCAAGGCTGCTTGGTAAGTGTATGGGGTCAGAGCTCAAAGATGTCTTTAGGGAGATGCCTGTAGCCTAGGTATTTCCTGTAAGGCAATTTGATATAGCCTGCCTCAAGTTTTTTATACACTCCCCTTTTTTAGTGTTCTAAATGTCCCCTTCAGGTCTGATTGCAATGGTCTTTACATCATAAAGGCCTTAACTGCTTTAGGGAGAAAAAAGAAGGAAAGAAAGAAAGAAAAGAAAAAAACCAAACATTTATTAAGAGCCTGCTATATGCCATGCACTTTACAAATATCTCTTTTGATCCTCACAACAACCTTGGAAGGTGAATGCTATTATTATCCCTATTTTGCAGGAGGGGGAACTGAGACAGACAGAAATTAAGTGACTTGACCAGAGTCACACAGCTAGTAAGTATCTGAGACCAGACTTGAATTCAAGTCTTCCTAGACCCAGGGCTTTATCCACTGTACCACCTAATTGCCTCCAGAAGGGGCTAGTAGATGCTAAGCCTCCCTGTAGTACATGGTGGTTTCAGATTTTCTCTTGGGACACAGCGTAACTCAGCAGAAAAGAAAAGGAGCAGTGAGTATAGGTAGCCTTCTCTATTTTGTTAAGTCAATTCTCCCTTTTTTCCTATCCCATCACAGCAGTCCTGCCAGATTCCCCATCAGCAGTCTCTCTCCCTCCTTGTACAAGTTCATGCTTTAACTGTGATGATTTTGGGGTTTTCATCTGCCCTAGATACAGCTGTATCTGAAGAACTGGCATCTCTTTGAAGTGAGATGTTAGGCTTGCCTGTGTTCTGACTGGGGCCTTGATGTTGGTGGGAGTTGGAAACCATGTGTTTGGATGAAGTGTCATTTAAAACAGGAAGAAGAAAAAAAAGGCCTCTGTAGAGAACAGATTTATAATCTTCAAATCGAAGACTCAGTAAGAGAAAAAGTGCCAGCTTACCTTATAGCTTGCAGGTCCCTGGGCAGGTATCATATTAAGGTGGTGTTTGGGGGATTTTAGCGTTGTAGTATGTCAGATGTTTCAGGCATGGGCAGCTTAATCTTTGGGGTGGCATTTGATAAAGAGGATGGTAAAGAATGCTGGAATAAAAGAAAAATATAATGCCAGTGATGTCAGATTGTGTATCTCTCCTGTGAGTGATGAACCTGATACAGTAGAGTGGATAAAGTATGCTCTGTTTTCTCATTGTCCCGTGGACATTAGTCCTTCCCAAGCAGACTATAAGCTCCTTGAGGACAGGGATCCAGTGCAGAGTGGGACATTCAATAAAAATTTATTGAAAGGGAAGAGGGAACAAAAAAAAAATATTCCTGGGATGTCACATTGTATTCCTTGTAAGTACTTCCAGTGGAAAAAGTGAAAACATTCACCCTAATACCTTCTTGCAAGGTAAAATATCAGATAGAAATCCCACATGAGTCTGAGCAAGTAGCTCCCTTCAGTCACCTGTCCTCCTGTCTCCATGTCTCAGGCTAACAAAGCCCTCGTCTGTCTCTGCTGACAGTCCTTAAAACCTCACTGGGTGTCTCTCTTCTGGTCTTGACAATATCTAGAAATCATTAAAGATTCTGTTCCACAGAGCTGTCTCTGTCCCTGGATGTGTTAAGAGTCGTCAGTTATAGTTAACACTGGGGCATTGAAGGCTTTGTACTTTGATGATTTTGTGTGTGTCAGAGTGAAGCAATGTTGTTTGCAGAGGTTGGGCATGGCACATTATCATCAGACACACTCGCTGGGCGGGCAGGCTGGCTGTTCAAGACCCTTCTGAGAAAACAGATCACTCAAGGGAGCTGAAAGAGGCTGCTCAGTTTGTAGTTGAATTGGGGGCACCATCATGAAGTTGATGGTATCAATTATTTGGGAGGCATTTTGGAGACATCAGAAAAAAAAGCACTGAGTTTGGAGCCAAAAGTGCTTTGTTCAAATCCTGGTTCTGCCACCTGTGTGACCTTGAGTAAGACTTTTGACTTGTCTGGACTTCAGTTTCTTCAACTGTAAAATGGGAGTGTTGGACTAAATTACTTCAAAGGACCCTTCCAGCTAAATTATGATCCTATAAGATGGTAGTATAGTCTAGTGACCAGAGCATGAGCCTAAGAGCTGGCTAGAAGAATAAGGAGGGCGGAGTGTCTGCTATGGGACTTCAGTTAGGCTATTTTCCCATCAGGACTTTGATTATCACCAGTCAGTCAAACCATCCATTATTAAATACTTCTTTGTGCTAGATGCTAGAGAAAAAGTACAAAGAAGGAAAACCCCTGGCTTCAGTGAACTTACATTCCATCAGTGAAGACATGTACAGCTATATATAAGTATGTACAAATCTATAAAAATTTAAATGAGGTAGATTTGGGGATGGGGAGGCACTGGTAGCTGGGGGGAACAGGAAAGAGCCCCATGAAGGAGGTAGAATTTGAGCTGGCTTTGAGGGAAACTAGAGATTTTAAGAGGAAGATGTACCCATCCTAAGTATGGGTCAGTACCAAAAAACCAAACTTGCTGAGTCCTCTTGGATCACCTTGGCTCATATACCTTCAAAATTCTCTGTTGAGGCAAAACATAAATAAAGCAGGGATAATTATCCCTGCCTTCCTCACAGTGAAGGCAAACCTACAATTAGATAATTGATCAAATAAAATGTTTGAGTACAGCAGCTCAACACTTCACATGGATCTGTGGGCCCACAATAACTTTTGAAGGAGGTGAGTAATTTTGATGAAATTGCTGAGGGGTCTCAGGGTACACATTTGATTTGTGATTCAGTTTGCCATTTGAAACTAAAGGGTAACTAATAAAAATTTTCAAATATATTTTGATTTTCTGGCTTTTTGTAGCTTTTCATAAAATGTTGGGTATGGAAAGAAGTTGCAAAATTATGTGATTAATCTGAGTGAGGTAGACAGTTCACAGATTAATATGATTAAATTTTTTAGCTTACAATTCAAAATTTCATTGCAATCATTTTATTCTATGTTGTGGAAATGCTTGTTTTATTTCATAAATTAAAAATTTTTTTAAAATTTAAATACACAAAAATATTTTAGCTTAGAAACGAATTCAATGCAGCAAACATTTATTGAGTTGCCTTTATTCTACAAGGCACTGTGCTAAATACTAGGGATACAAAGATGAAACAATACCTGCCCTCAAGAAACTTACATTTTGCTATAGCTTTTTTTCAGTGTATAGTCGCTGAATTGACCAGTTTAGAGTGTGGTCTTCTTGGGTCATCTTAATGACCAGTTTTGGCAGAGGTAACTAATATTGGTCGTGATTATGATTTATTGGAAGCAGAACTACACTAGCCTCAACATACTTGGGTTCTCATACCAGCTCTTTGGCAGAGTAGCTGCGTGACCTTCTGCAAATCATTAAGTCTTGAGTTTAAATCCTGGTTCTGCCAGGGGGTAGAGAAACTAAATGCGTTCTAAGGTACAGAATGATAAAAAGTTAAACTTTAGAGGAATCAGTGGTTATCTGGTCCACACATTTTTAACCAACCCACAATAACACCTTCACTATCAAAGGCCTTTTCTTCAAAAAACCTACAAACTTAAAAAAACTGACCTTCTTTTCCTTTTTTTTCTCTGAAGCCAGCTCCTCCTGCCCTGTCTCCCATCTCATTCTATCTGGCTCCCCAGTTCTCCCCCAATCCTTGAGCCGTTGAAGCCAGGGTATTTGGGAGGAAACTGTGGAGGGTACTGTGAGCTACAGTACAAAGATTAGGTTATTATACCAGGTTTGCACTTTAGTTTGGAATAGGAAATATTGACATGTTGTCCAACCTTTTCATTTTACCTCTCTAAAATTCTGTGGTTCTATGACTACTCATTAATGTAGGTCAAAGAATCCCAAGCTCTTTGGAACAAAGGTGGATAGACAGCCAAAGTATGTACTAATAATAACAGTACATGGAAAAATCAGGACAGTTGCTTGGCAGGACCATGCTGCCCCATTCCTATTTTAGAATCTCCTTTGTTAAAATATGGCACAAGGCTTTGAAGACATGTGGCATCCTACTTTAGATCAAAAGGGATCTCTTTGGTCACATTCTGGAGGGCTGTATCGTCTTGTGCATCAAATGAGCAGCCCATGTATTTATATTCAGATGAATACCCTTGTTGCAGTAGACAGCTGTCTGGGGGCATTTAGCTCATTCAGATAGAGCACAGTGCAAATGAGGCCAAGGTCATAGGTTTAATCCTTGTATTGGACAGTTTTCTTCCCAGAGTAGGGGCAAAAAACAAAAAACCCACCATCCCATGATGGTCCCTGACCCCAGCCTCACTGATGGCTGCCCTTGATCTCCACTACTGGAGAGCAGCAAAAAGTACCCTCTCTACTGGTGATGGATAATTCAACAGTAACGTCATCATCCATGGGTCGGCTCTATTTTAAGAACACTAACTATAGGAAATCAGACCTACAAAACATAGTTTTTAGGGAATAGTTACTCACATTATGAAGTAATTCTTCACCTTATTGAAAGATTCCTTTAAACATTGGTTCGATTGAACGGGAACACCCTTTACCAATTCAGATCATGAAATTGTAACCCATCCACAACTTGGTAAATCAGTCTTAGAGAGTTTGCCTGAGGTATATACAAGTTAAGTGAGTCAGAGGTGAGATTCAAACCCAGGTCTTCCTGACTCTAAGCCCACCACTCAATTTGCAACACCAAGCTACCTCTACAATACAACTAGAGCATTGAAAATGCTACCTCTGTCTACCAAAATTAAGTTTACCTATAGCTTTTTAAGTGAAATGACAGCCACATGTAATTATTTTGGCCAAGTTAAGGAGAAAAGGTCCTTTAAATGGGGAATCCTCAGTGGCCTGATAAAGGATTCAGCCATGATATTACAAGGGAGACTCTCCTGGCTTCCCTTATCCCCAGAAGATATTCTTGGGCCACCTGCGCCTACAGGAAAGAAGTCCATGTGCCAACAAAATCAATAGTGTGAACAGCTCTGAAAGCAAGCAATTTATCGTGCACCCTTTTTTCTCCCCAGACCCTTCCTGGGAAGGTGCCTTAGGAAAAAAAAAAGTAGGCACATTCTCCTCACATGTTCTATTTGTAGAATCATGTAACGTTAACATTCTCTTTCAGGTTCTAAAGAATGAGGCACTACTTCACAATGGCTTCCCACACACACACACAACAGGAAGTGTCTGAATAACAGGAAGCCATCCACACTAGAGATTAATGATGTATTTGAGGGTTGGAGTCTTTCCTCCTTCCTTTCCCCACCCCTTTCTTTGTGAAGGGAATCCTATCCTGTGACTTGGATTTTCAGACTTAATGTGCATCCACTGACTCATAAGGCCTGATTTAAACCCGAGTACCAATATCAGACACCAAGGAGCCCCCATTGGAAGAGGAGTATCAATGATGATGATTGATGATAACTAACATTTATATAGCACTTACTATGTTCCAGGCACTGTGCTAAACACTTTACAATTATTGTCTCATTTTATCCTCACAATGACCCTGGGAGGTAGGTGCTGTTATTATGCCCATCTTACAGAGGAGAAACTGAGGCAAACAGAGATTAAATGACTTGCCCAGCGTCATACAGCTAGTAAATGTCTAAGGACAGATTTGAATTCAGGCCTTCCTAACCCCAGGCACAGTGCTGTATCCACTGCAACATTTACCTGCTTCAACCAGGTAAGGCACAGGTAAGGCAGAAGCATAGACTCCACAGTGAGGTCCCCAGTTTCAGAATTGCCAGTGCCATGGTCAGTCCAGTACTCTTGGGTATGGGCAGAACTTTTCATTTTTCCAAATCTTTTCACATCTTATTAGATTTTATTAAATCCTCAAAACACACCCATGAGATAAGAAAGTAGGACAGGTGTTACTGCTATATCACTACCTCCCTCACTGAGTTATTGGAAGGAAGGCACCCTGCAAACTGTTGAGCACTAGATAAATGTGAGCTGTTTAACAGATAAAGAACTGAAGTTCAGCAAGTAGTCCTGGCCTGAGGCTTCACAGGGAGCTGGGACTTGAAATCACATCTGGCGGATCCCAAACCCTCCACTCCTTGGTTTCTTTCACATTCGGTTCACAAGTTTTTGTGCTATGTGTCCAGCACTGAACAAGGTGCCTTTCTAAGCAGTTCCATGAGAACTAATAAATGTGCCTGCCTGTTCCTACCTGCATAAGAGCCACCATGGTGACATAAAGACTTTGCTCCCCTCAGAGATTTCCCATGGATCACATCTTAGAAAGCAGACACCCCTGCCTGTGGGTGACAGCATAGTTCATTTTTGCATTATTGTTTCCTTCAAAGAATGTATCATTAGGCAAAGGAAGTTGAGGGGAAGGTTGGGTTTTCATTATTCTTGTGTTTTCCTATTCTCTCTGGTTTCTTCCCATCCCTAGTCAGCCACAGAGCTTATAGGAAACATTGATAACTTTGTAAAGTATGGAATTGCAAGTGAAAAAGTCAAATCCTCAGGTGTTTTTGTCAGAGATGTTAGCCTCTAGTGCCAGCATAAGAGATATCTAGGTGGAGTCCTTCCTCTTTGCCAAGCTTCACATCATTCAATTCATATTGTTGTCAAATTGATATTCCTAAAACCCTAGTTGGGACCACATCATTCCCCTACTTGGGAAGCTTCAGTGGCTCCTTGTTCCCTCAAAGCAAAACAAAAAGTCACGGGTTTGACATTTAATGTCTTTCCAGACTTGAGATTTCATATTACACACACACCCAACCCTCACTTCATCCCCCCCACCCCACCCCATTCGTCCATCACAAACTGTGTTGCCCTACCATTCTCATCTCCATCATTTGGAATCTCTAGCTCCCTCTAAAGCTAGCTTGTGTACCACTTACTCTTTAAGGCATTTCCTGACGCCTTCAGTTCTTAGTGATCGCTTCTCCTGCTCCTACAATTTCTTTGTCTGTATTTTATATTTATTCATCTACTTACATGTTACATTCCTAACCCTTCCCCTTGACTCAATGGTAAGGGACTGTTTCCTTTGTAATCCCAATGTCTAGCACAGGGCTTTTTGTGACAGGCACTTAATACATGCTTGAATTGAATTGAATTGAATAAATCTGTCTTTTGAGCACCTGCTTCAAGCTTCGTGTGATGCTGTCAGTGGAGAGAACAAGGAAGAAGGACAGGGTTCTTTCCCTGGAAAAGCTTACAATCTATTTGGGGAGATAAGACTAGCCCACTTGAAACAAAGAATAGTACAAGGTAGAATATGTTTGTGTTATGTGGTGTAGCCTGGCTTAGCCCCAAAAAGGCAACTCAGTTGTGCAGTGGACAGTGTTGGGCCTAGAGTCAAGAAAACATGAGTTCAAATCCAGCCTCAGACACTTACTAAATGTGTGACCCTGGGCAAGTCGCTTAACCTTTATCTGCTTCAGTTTCCTCAGCTGTAAAATGGGGATCATAATAGCACCTCCCTCCCAGAGTTGTTGCAAAAATCAGATAAAATAATTTTGTAAATTTTTAAAATGCTTAGCACAGTGCCTAGCATATAGTAGGCACTGTATTAAAATGCGTATTCCCTTTCCCTCCCTCCCAAAGAAGAGAAGAGGATATACTCCTCTTCCTTTTTTGCAAATGTGTGGAACACTATATAATACTGGATTTGATTGATATGTTGATTAGTTTTGCCAAACTCCTTTTTGTCTTTTTAAATTTTTTAAATAGTTTATAAGGACTGACTCTCTGAAGAAGGGATGAGGGAAGAATATATTGGAAAAAGGTTATATTAAAAAAAACAAAAAATTTAATAAAATTTCAAATAAATAGTATGGTGCTATGGGGGTGCAGGGAAAAGGAAGATCATTCACCTCTAGGTAGAATAGTAATAATGGTAATGAGAGCTGACATTTATATAGCATTTTTTCATATTGTATTTCATTAAACAGTGAGTCAGGGGAGGCTTCGTGAAAAGGTGAGATTTGAGCAGGACTGTTAAGGGCAGGTCCAAGTTATCTAGACAGAAAAGGGGAGACGTGCGATGAAAAAGAATGGCCTTCCAGAAAGAAATTCTCATGCAGACAACAGTCTGCCATAGCATTAGGCCCAGATTGTGCTAGGTTACATATTTAGTCTTACAACCCCTCCTGGGAATCAAGGTATTTTCTGATATATTTTCAATTAACAGTTTAAAAAAAATCAACCAAAGGGGTGTGAATTCCACAGCTACTCCTATTTTTGTATCACCTCTGGAATTTCTTCCTATAGATCAGCATTTATTCTGTGTAAAATAATGCTGTCTCAGAGGTGTTTTTTTTTTCTTTTCCACAAAGCCCCTTTTAAAAAATTGACCATTTAGGTATTTTCTTCCAAGGCACCATTGTGATAGGCAGTCATACCTCAAGATTTAGGGACCAGCATGTCTGAGGTGGTAGGTTTGATTGGGGAAGAAAGAACTGGCATGTTTCAAAAGTGGCGTGTCCTAAGATTATTCCCACGAATGTTACTAATTGGCCAAATAATAACTGTCTTTTACACACTGGTCTTGCTTAGGAAGGATATAATATCAGTGTTCACAGTGGCTGATTGAAGTAACTTGTCTTAGATCTTCACATACTTGCCTTCATAAGATCATAGGCCAGAGCTGGAAGGGACCCTGTGGGTTCTCCAGGACAACCCCCTCATTTGACAGCTGAAGAAACTGTCATATGTGCCAAGTGCTGTGCTAAGCACTCCACAAATATTATCCCATTTGATCCTCACAACATTCATTTGTGGTGAGGTGAGGAAACTGAGGCAGATAAAGGGTAAGTGACTTACCCAGGGTCACACAGTAAGTGTCTGAGGCCACATTTGACCTCAGATCTTCCATACTCTAGGCCCAACACTCTTAGCCTAAGGTCTCTTCTAACTTCAAATCCAGTACTTCCTAATTCTATGAATCTACTCCTCCTGAGTAAGTTAAACTGTGGTATTCAGTATGAGCTCTGTTAGAATTCACGGGAAGGTGAAGGCTGGAACTTTACGCATGAGAAAACTGAAACCCAGGTAGGTTCCTCTCCTCCCAGAGACTTTTCCAAGTTCACATAGCTAGTAAATGACAGCGCTGAGATTACAGCCCAGGTCTGACTCCCAATTCAGTGTTCTTTCCAGGACACTATTCTGGTTCAAGCCAAAGAAGGATGAGTAAGATTCTTATCAGTAAAAGGGAAAGGCAAAAGGAAAAATATGAATGAATCAACAGAGGAAGAAACAATCATGTGTGTTCTTAAAACAATAAAGAAACTGGCACCATGTGAATAAATAGAAAGTTCTTGTTTCTCCCTCCCATCTCCCTTTTCCTTTTCACTCAGGTGACCTTCCTCTCCCTGGCATTTAGCTTGACTAGGATGGCTCAGTGGATAGAGTCCCAGGCCTGAAATCAGGAAGACCTGAGTTCAGATTTGGACTCAGACACTTACTAGTTGTGGGACCCTGGGCAAGTCCGTTTAAAAAAAGCCAATAACTTGTTTGCCTCAGTTTCATCATCTGTAAAATGGGAATAATAATACCCACTTGTTCTGAGAGTCAAATGAGATAATAGTTGTAAAGCACTTAGCACAGTACCTGGCACATAGTAAGTACTGTATAAATGTTTGTTGTTATTAAAGAGGGTGCAAAAATCCTTTTATATAGGAGTATTCTGGTTTTGGAGTGGAGAGTAACATCAAAGAGCATGGGACTAACGTAATAGTGAAAAATTATTACCAAATTGCATACAGGTACACGTTGTTTTGCACAACTTGGAAGTTGGCATGAGAATTGGGTTTTTGCAGATCATATCACAAGCACAACAGGGCAGCTGGATCTGCCGAAGGAACCTTATGGGAAGTCCTTTTTTGTAAAACAAATATATTTATCTACTTTATGAATCCAAATGAGGTGATATGCCTAAACAACAGAGAGTTAAATGTGTATGTAGAATAGGCTACTTTTATTTAGCATAAAGCTAGGTACAGTCTTTGAAATGGTCGTTTTATATAAAGGGCCAGCCATGTCTTTCTGCTAGCTTCCACCCCT